AATGACATGCGACTTGAGCTGTTGAGGTATTAGCTAGTAGCAGTGGATCGTCGTCGTCGCCGTCGTCGTAGCACTAGCAATAGCAATAGCAGCAGTAGTAGTAGTAGTAGTAGTAGTAGTAGTAGCAGCAGCAGTATTAGTAGTACGAGTAGTAGTCGTCGTAGTAGAGTAGTAGTTGTCGCAGTAGTAGTCGCAGTATCAGTAGTAGTAGCACTAGTAGTTGCAGTAGTAGCAGCAGCAGCAGCAGCAGCAGCAGCCTCAGGAGCAGTAGTAGTAGTAGTAGTAGTAGTAGTAGTAGTAATAGTAGTAGTAGGAGCAGGAGTAGCTAGGAGTAGGAGTAGCGCTAGTAGAAGTAGTGCCAGTACGAGTACAGTGTGCCGGGAATTTCGAACAATTACTTGACCAAGATTGCCAAGCGATCAATATTGCCATGCAATCTTGCAATCTTGGCCTCCAAAAGGTAGACTAGTCGGCGAGCAAATGAGCAAGTGGGGCAAGATAACTTGGCAATCTTGCCGCCCCTGACCAAGTTTGCCAAGATTTCCATGACGGTTCCGCAAACTAATTGTTGTAAGTTGATGGCGTACTAGTACCAGTAGCAGCAGGTACAGCAGTACCAGTAACAGCAGAAGTAGTAGCAAAACTAGTACTAGTCGTACTAGTGAAACTAGTAGTACTAGTGGTACAAGTAGCAGCAGTAGTGTAGTAGTAGTCGACGTCGTCGTAGTAGTAGTAGTAGTAGGAGTAGTAGTAGTAGTAGTAGTAGTAGTAGTACTAGTAGCAGTAGCAGTAGCAGTAGCAGTAGCAGTAGCACTGTATTAGTAGTAGTAGTAGTAGTAGTAGTAGCAGTCGTCGCGCCGTAGTGGTCGTAGCAGTAGAAGTCGTAGCAGTAGTCGTCGTCGTCGCAGTCGTCGTCGTAGTCGTGGTAGTGGCAATAGTAGTCGTCCTAGTAGTTAACAGTCCTGCTCCGGTCTGCAGCGATAACCTGATAGTTTAAGACACACCATGCTTTGAAAACTTTCAGAAAAGAAGGCACTTTACTGGCATAACCATAACATTTGAAGAGCAGAAAACCCGCACTGCGGGGCTGAAGCTGCAGTCCTTCACATGCTTCAACGCTGCGCGAAAGCTGGGGCAGGCTTCCTCCTCCTCACCAGCCTGTGGCTCTGGGGACTTATTCGTGCCTGGCAACCAGAAATGCTTAAGTGCGTCTATGCTCTCAAGAATATGGCGTTGCTGACTCGTGCACTAAGGCTAAGGTTATGTTTCGGGCTTGGGGCGATCGGAGTCGGGTGTAAGGCGTAAGGGTTCTGCAGAAAGCTACTGAAACACAACGCACATACGCATCTCGTCTCCAAAGCCGAAATCACATTCGTTGGCCATCGTAACCGGGATAAATCTCTACATTGACATGGGGGTCCATCGAAAAGTGGCATCCTCATCTCGAAAGGACCCAAGCGAAACCTCATTCCCTGTTCCACGATCGCCTTGACGAGCTTGCCACGGTGGTGATACACGTCATGACATACGAAATGCGGTTGCTATGCTTCGATCAATGTTGATTGATGCTAATCTTGTAGGCTCCTGGGTAGCTATTGAGCTGTTCTGGATGTTCTTGCATGCTTGACATACGCAACAGTATCGTTGTTTGTAGCAGTCACTTACTCGTCCCGACGTTGTAGTCGTTGCCGGTCTGTGGCGATAGTGAAAGCAGCAGTGGTAGTAGTCAATGCAACCTGCACGAAGTAACGATGCAGGTTCTATCAGGTACACTTCCTATGTCTGTTCCTATGTGAGTTAAAAACCTTGTGTCGCTTCAGCTCCTGTATATTTAGCTTCATGCGATGGCTCCAGTTCAAGCTTAACTCCATGCCGCGCTGGCCATCTCCATCTCTTCGTCACGGAAGAGGAAGATTAGCAGAGGAAGGATCACCTTGATGCTTATGCAGCGCTATGCCCTTCCGCGGTTCAGGGCCAACGTGAATGGTCTTACGAGTCCAACAAAAAGGAGGCGATGCAGCTTTAAATCCCACGATCCCACACACCGGGACTCCGGACCCACTCGCACAGCCGCGTGACCTCACCAAGCTTGCTGCATGTAGACACTGTTTCATCCTTGAACAATGATCTTGTCCACGGTTTAGTTTAGGGCTTAGGTTTAGGGTTTAGGACTGGCTCTCCGACAGGAATCATGTTGGGCAGCATGCAGCGCGATGCCTGGTTTCTCGCGCTTCAGTATTCAGGCCTGTCTCCGAAACGCACCAAGCGCGCGGCAGTGCTCGACACGTTTGCACTTTCGTAGAGCCGCTCGGCCTTGCGACCATCGGAGGCGGAAGAGGCAAAGGGCGCGGTGCAAAGTTCCGTTTTTGCTTGTCCTTCCTAGTTTTCGCGGAAGCCATAAGTACGACCCCTGAAGCGAATGAATGCTTCCGAAAACCAGCGTGGCCGGAACACTGCGTCGAACTCGTCGGCTCAAGGCCGAGCTGAGTTCAGAGTCGGGCTTTGTCTCGGCCGAGCGAAGACCAGACCCCAGAAGCACAAGTTTCCAGTGCTTTGAGCACACGGACACGTCTGATCCTTAAGACTCGACCCAAGCAGCTTAGAGAGGAGCTGCAGACGCTGCAGACGTTGCTTCAGAACCTGTCCGACATATGCATTTTGCGGTCACCTTTCTCTGAAGTCTTCGAGTTGCACCATCTCGAGAATTATTGGAATTTACAGTTCAACGTAAGTCTGGGCCAGCTCCCGTGAAAAAACTCTCTGACACTCGGAAGGATCTCTTTGAAAGCCCCGGATCAGGAAGTACGGGAGCGACCGGCCTCTGGCAAAATCTTCAGCCGTCCGGTTACGCCGGTTCTTTATGTCCAATCGGGCTCCGGCTGCTAGTAAGGCTGCGGCGCCTGCGTACTGCGCCGTGAGCACCGCTGCCATCAGCGGGGTCATTCCAGGAAGGTTGTGAAACAAAGTCGAAAGAGGAGTGGCCCGGCCGAAGCGGTGTTGAAGCGACTTCATGGTGACCACGATGCCATGAAGGGACCGGCCAGACCACTTCCGGCCAGATGCTTTGTACCTGGATTGTCGCTTCTATAGATGCTGTCCCTGCTGATTTAGGCTGTCGTGGATTTAGGCTGTTGTTGTTAAAGCACATTTTAAGAATACTTACTCAGTTGGGTCCAGCAGCTGCCAATTGACATCGGCGCGTAGCTCCAGGAGCCTGTCGACCATCTCCGCCGTACCTCCTCGAGTGAACATGGTGCTGAAGAGGGCGCTGGAGAAGTCCAAAGCATTTTCCGGGGCCCGCAGGACAAGGGCTTCGAGAACTGATGCGGCTCCGTAGGCTGCTGCTGTTTCCAAGACAGAGACGCCTAGAATGCCCTCTGCAAGTGGGCTACCTTTCGCATCGCAAAGAAGATGAACACCAGATGCATTGTCAGCCATGGCAGCATAGGACATAGCGGGCTGCACTCCACCCTCGAGCCGGGCCCTGGCAGCAACGAGCAGCCGGGCTGAATCGTTCTTGAAGAAGACGGCAAGGTCAAGGGCTGAGGTCCAAGGAGGGCATCCGAGCTGCGGCTGGTCTTTGCTCGTTCGACGGTTGGGATCGGCACGCTGCTGCAAGAGTCCCTCGATTAACTCTGAGCTGCCGCTCAAAGCGGCGTAGTGCAGTGGCGACCACCCTGCACCGTCGACATCACGGACTGTGGAGAAGCCATTCTGGTAAAGGAACTTCGACACGACATCCGGACTTCCAAGCTCGCCCTCAAATCCTGGGATGAGGTCGTGTACGATTTCAATGTCAAGGCCTCTCAAGTGAACGGCCTGCATGTTCAAGTGCCGGCGGTAGCCTGCAAAGTCTTTGGCGTTGAGGCACAGACTCAGCTTTCGTAGCACAGCTCGCTTCAGAACTGGGGCTAGCTTGGCTCGGTCGTCCGCCCGGCTGAACTGACCCTCACCGGCTGATCCGCCGAGGAATCCCAAAGCCGAGCCCACCAGTTCGAGCGATGCACTGCTCTTGATCAGAACCCATTTGTCGTTGTTAGACAACTCACGCAACAGTCTTTCAACCCTGCACCAACCTCTTTCACTCCAGCTTTTCGTTGTCAACACCCTCTCCTCACTAGGGCAATCGATGACAGGGCACAGCCCGAAAAAGAAGTCGCACTGAGCGACGTAAGCTGGAATGCTGTCGATGGCCTTCTCAAGGTCAACAAAAGAAGACCCCTCTCGGCGTTGAGGGCAAGAAAAATAATCGTACCAGAGAAAAAGTGGAGAGGACTGGAACTCTTGTAATGATAAACTCTTGGCTGTCGGCACAATCGCTTCAGTGATAGGGTCCAAAGGGACGAACCCCGTTCCGTGAAGGAGATGTCTCAGGGCACCCTGGAGCACCTGCAGTTGCTTCAACCCGGGATCAGGATGCGCTTTCGTGACCCATTGGTGCGAGACGAAGGCAGCTTTGCCCATGCTCGTCTCGAAGACCGCGATTGCTCCGGCATCCTTCGGGGTGTCGCACAAGTTTGTGGCATGTGACGATGGCTAAATTCTCCACAAAGTTAGCAACTATCTATCAGTCACTCACCATCCCGCACCCCGCCACCCCCCGCTAGCAGCAGCGTCAGCAGCAGAAGCAGCATCGCCACTGCCGCCGCCGCCACCACCACCACCACTACCACCACCACCAACAACAATAACAACAGCAACAACAATCACCATCATCAATCATCATCATCATCATCATCATCATCACCATCATCATCACCTGTCTGCCTTTGCTTTGCTTTGCTTTGCTTACGAGGCACCTGTCTGCCTCTCTCTCTCTCTCTCTCTCGCTCGCTCGCGCGGAAGATTCTGCTCTGAGAGTGGCTCGGCCGGGTTACTGGAGTTCAGTTGCAAAGTACCAAGTTGTGCTCAGACGGAGGTTGGAATCGCACTGGAGTCGTGTACGCGGCTCGGCTTCAGCTTCATCGTCTGCAGCCTTGTTGCGGATGCGTCATTTGTTGAGGGAGAGTCGGTCGGTGGCGAGACTGCTACTACTACGACTACTACAACTACTACGACTACCACGACTACCACTACCACTACCACTACCACTACCACCAATACTACTACTACTACCAATACTACTA